TACGTAAATTAAAATGTATTAAACTTCTATCAGTGAATAATAATAAATAGTACAATGTGATATTTGAATTGGGATTATGAAAAACCTGCTAATTTTTTAATTCTGTGTCTTAACTAATTTGATTTAATCTCCGATGAATTTCTGGTGGAATCCAACTAGGGGTTACTCATTCACGGATCAATCCCATGAGCGAGTACATACCGCTTACACAGAGTTATCCCACGCATGCCACCAAAGCAAATAAATGTATTTGTATGTATGTCTGTGTGAGTGAATCTGTGCACATGTGAGAATATCCGAGATTGAAATCCAAATAATGATACGCGCGACGCGTATAAGTAACCTATGTACATACACATCGGTATATTATATTCTACATTTGGTCTTTCATATCATTCGTGCCAGTCTCTATATCCAGTGAATGTTGCATTTTGCGGGAATGGATTACCGTACTTATAATTAATAAAACTCTACATATACATTCAATCTATGTTATGTAAAATAATTATTAGTTTTAGACGACAAATGTCTGTCTATTATTCTTCCGTATTATCATATATTATTATCTCTATGAAAAATTATACATTTAAAGCAAATGATAATTTACATTCATGTTTCATCTATATTTAATTAATGCAATAATTATAAATTTAATGATATAAAATAGACTAATGAAATTTTATTTTAATTTATATTTTATAACAAACGTTGAATAATAACTCATTACTATTTATTATGTCTACGTCATATATTTATATTTTCAATGATAATCATAATTACTGAGTATTTATTATATCGGATATTTGTAAATCAACCACTATGCATAGTGAAAATAAAAATTTTACCCTTATTTAAATTACCCATTAGAAAAATTATTCCCATGGAGTATGAGAAACTTGCGGTTTTTTTTTAGAAAACATAGGGTAGAAGTACTTTTTTTGTCCACTTTATTTTCAAATTATTGGATAAATATTTTTCTAAGCGCAAATCTTTATGAATAAAATTCGTATGAATGTACTAATTTATAAATGTTATAAAAATTCTACTCGAATAGTTAAATTTTTTATAAATTCACTAAAATATCAAGTGGCCAAAAATGGTCCTAAGATGGCCAAAACCGATACTTCTATCCTATAACCTATATGATTGAGAAAATAAGAAAAATGTTGTCTCTGTCATATTGATATGAAAATAATAAGTTTTACGAGTTGAATGTAGTATTATTGGGAAGATGTTAATCTTTTTTTGACTTTTTCAAAGTTTCATATGATTTTCGGCAATAGTTAATTTATTATGATAAAATTTTGGAGTGGTTCTAAAAAGGTAGGAAAATCCAAAAGTGAACACCTCATAACCCTCATTTAAGATAAAAAAAAATAAGTCGTACTACTGACTTTCAAAATAAAACTGCATCTATTATTTTTATTACTAGCCATATCATGCTCGCTTTGCTTGCCCTCATTCTTTAGAAAATCCCACCATTATTCAGTCAACCAATCAACAACCGAATGAAAAGGTTATAATAGCGACGGAAAACGACTAAACATCCGCAATCAACTTTTTAGAAAAGGATAGTTGCAAATCAACTAAAATTGTGATTTAATTGTCGATTCAAATATTTGGCGGGATTTTCATTTTAGATAAGAAAAATACAGCACGAGGGCGCCACTGAACAAATTACAGAGCGCCCATGCGTGGCTTAACGCTGATCTTCATTTACATATACATAAGTACACGAAAGACTAGTTGACTTTAATTTTTTGTTAATTATAATTAAATCACACCGAATTGTACAGTCATCTGGAAAACAAAATAAGTCACTGTAATTTTTAAGCTAACAATAAAAAAAAACTTAGTCTTGATACGTCAATTTTTTCGGGAGTTATCGTAACTACATGAAAAAAAAGTTACAGTCAGACATCCTAAATTCCAGTAAAAACAGAATTTAGCCGCATCACAGCCGAAACACCGCTGCACGGCTTTTTAATCGCCGAAGCACCGCCGCACTATGACTGTGACTATTTTAATTTTTGTATGGTCGCCGAAGCACCGCCGCACCATAGCCGCGACTGTTTAAGTAAAAGTGGGTTCACTGCATTACCGCCGAAACACTGCTGCACGGCATTCTAATCGCCGAAGCGCCGCCGAAGCACCGCCGCACCACCGCCGTGACAGGTTAAAATTTATCAATTCGCCGAACCACCGCCGCACCACAGCTGTGACGAATTAAAAATTGTCAACTTTTAATAAATTTTGTTTGACCGCCGAACCACCGCCGAACGACCGCCGTTTGATGGTATACATTGAAATAAAATATTTGTTGATCATTCAAATAACTAAACCAAATTCTCTCAGTTAACTACGACTTGCAGCCCAGTTGGTAATGTTCGAGACTTCCATGCAGACGACCCAAGTTCGATTCCCATCGCAGCTTAATCTTTAAAATTTTTTCAGGATATTTTGATCGACTCGCCGTTTCTGTGCAAACCGGAGGATGAAATTAAAAATCTACATCAACAATACGACAATGGCTGTACATGATATTCATAGAGGCCAGCTGGACTACACCAGCAAGGAAAAAAAAAAAAAAACAATACGACAAAAAAAAAATCAATGATATTCTTCAATCTGATTCAAAAAAATTTTTTTTATTTGAATATTAAGCATTTGAATAAAAGGAGGTTGTACTATAAATTACATTAAAATTTCTAATCGGGTTATTTATTAATTAATTATTGCATGATAAATTAATTATGAAGCCATTTTTTATAAAATTGTAGCTATGCTTTAGCATTGATGCGGCGGTCGTTCAGCGGTGGTTCGGCGATGCGAGGGGAAGTAAATTTTTAGCGTGCGGCGGAATATTACGCCAAACGGCGGTGGTTCGGCGGTCGAACAAAATTTATTATTTTTTCGTAAAAAATAATAATTTCATTTTTACACGGGGCACGCGGAATTTTTCTTCTTCATTTATTACTTTTCTTTTTTTCATATGTGTACTCATATTATCCCATAAGTGCCATATATTTTTGATAGAGGCATTTAAGACCACAAAACTGCTTTCGCACTTGTTGAGAGTAGAGCACTTCCTCAAACTCATTCGTGTTGTATGAGGCGTGCAATAGATTCGAATTAAGCGTTACACGACGTATGTGTATTTGTTTATTTTGTTTTGTACATATAAATATCTTCACATCTTAAATATTGGTCTATATTTTATTAAATGTATAATTACGATAATCAAGAAAATTTTGTAGTGTACATGTTTATTTTAAAGGGAATTTTAATAGTTAAATTTGATATCATCAGAAAAGTTTTAGCGTAAATTCGTACCTTTTCACGATTTAATATATTTTTTAGTGATAGTCAATTTGTTATGTTAGATTTTTGGAGTAGTTTTAAATAGTTTGTTAATTCTAAAAGTTGATTTCATCAAATTTTCTATTAACCCTTACTAGAAAAAGAGATTTGAAAAGATTCGAAATGGCTCAAAGAGATTAAAAAAGATTCAAGTTGACACATATATAGATATACATTTTGCATTTTTTGAATCTTTTTAAATCTTTTTTTTTAATAAGGGAAATTAATTAGAATTATTTCTGTAGTAGTAACATTTTTTAAAATTTATTTACAAAATACCGAAATCATGTATATTGATTATAAATATCGAAAAATTATTAAGCCAAAATTTCTTGATTCAGAGTCCGTAATTATCAGCTTTTGCATCGTGACTGCAGGTTGCTAGTTATAATTAACTGAAATAGAAAATGATAGATGGTACTTGTGAATATAATGCAAAATAAAAGTTATTCAGAAGCTCTAAGTAACGTTAAGTGGGTCAAATTCACTCCGCGGCTTATTACTACTACTTTATATTCTGTTCATCTACATTGTGTTTGTCTTAGAGTAATGTTATGTGTAGATAGGACGACAAGTGCGGGTGTGTAACGTGACACGCCCGATGTTTTACATGCTCTTTACAAGCCGATAAAATAAACGCGCACGCATCCTACAATTGTTCGGGGTAGGATGTAGCTTATTGGCACGAATCTGTTAAATATATTATTGAATTCTGTTTCTTGTTCCGTTGCAAGCTTAGCGCTATCCGATTACTGCAAATGTCTGTCATTTCATTTTATTTATCTAGCACTGGAAAGAAAAAAAATTTTTTTTAAATATAAGGGTTACTTAACTAAATCTATATTTGAATGAATAATTTAAACGAACTTAAATTATCAGTTTTATAATTTCACCACTTTCTAATAGTCACTTTAACAGTTATAATTTTACACTATAATTTTTTGTAAAAAAATGCTTAATTTAAAAAATTATCATCAAACACGATAATTTTCTTTACAAATTTGTTAAACCTTACTTATAGTGTTACTTTTTTTCCACCGGCAGAAATGTTTATTTGAGCTTTAACTTTTAGACGGGAATTAAAAAAATTATATGCAAACTGAAACGCAAGAAGTTAATAAACGATTAAAAAAAAGAATTGAAAATTGTTTAAAATTAACAGAAACGATAGAAATAAGATTAGTTCACCGACTGAATAGAACCACTTATTAATTTCTAATTAGCAAATAGTCTAACTTCATTTCAGAAAATTGAAATTAAAAAAAAAATTTCTTTAATTAACAATCAATTTAATATCTATATGCACACGGGAAAAAAAGTGTGGTAAGGACAACTATACTTGGAGTTGGATTTACTACACATTAAAATCACCCGTAAACAAACTATAGTACATGGTACTCCAAGTGTGGTTACCCTTATCGCATTTTTTTTTTTCGTGCATGTATAATTTTCTCAGGCTATCCAGATAATGTATCCGTACTATTGTCATGTGAAAATTGAAAAAAAAAATTTATTTACTTATTATATTTATTGTTATTGTTACCATAATATAAAATAACGCTTAGATGAATGAATTTGCAAACGCTTTATAGATAGTATAACTATTGCGGTCGTACCATATGTTATGAATAATTCGTAGCTCATTCTAGTGAGAGCGCACCGTACTTTGAGTTGACCACAAAAGTTGTACTTCCTGGTGTGAAATGCTGTCCGAAAGACCTTACTTTCGGGATGGAGGGCATGCAAAGATATGCTCGTATTTGTGGAGGGTAAAGAGTAGAAGGTGAATCACATCGTTTTTTATGAGCTACTCTCTTTAAATTTATGGTAGTCAAAGCACGGTTCTGTAGATAGTTTCTTAAAATTCGACAAGATTTACATCTTGAATTGGGCTGATTTCTTTTGTAACTATCTTCACCAATAATAAGACTTTAAAAATTCTCGAATACTTAAAAATTGATGAAATTGTTAGAATTAAATTCATTTTCAACACTTCTCAGTAGATCATTAATTTATGTATGTAAAAAATACATCATTCTTACCTGTTACGGTCGATTTGAATGCCCACGCATAATGGTCATCTCTCTACGGATTTTAAGTAATTATAAATATTACGGAATGAATCAATTTTTTCGATTAGAGAAAAATGTATTCTATAATTTTTAGAGAGTATCCTTTAGAATGCGAATACCTTTAGAGAGAGAGAGAGAGAGAGAGAGAGAGAGAGAGAGAGAGAGAGAGAGAGAGAGAGAGAGAGAGAGAGAGAGAGAGAGAGAGTTAACTAGATACAACTCATTTCTTTCCGTGCACGTCTTGAAACATTTTAAATAAATAAATTATTTTTAAAGAATTAGAGTGATTGTGTGTTTATAATTTCGATTAAATATTAATGTCTATATGAATTTTGTGATCTACTATTAATATCAAATAAAATCGTTGCCGTATCAGATGTAAAATAATGATCTGTTTAAAATTTTATCTCATTGATTACATGATTACTAATTAAATTGAGTCTTATATCGTTCCGAGATTTTAAATATTATCAACTCCCATTTTTTTTAAGTATACAATTTTTCTCACCAAAACAATTTTCTATGCCGAATACTTCACCATAAATACCATTTGTTAAAATATATACATATAAATTTTTTTTATTTACACAAATACAAAAATAATAAATAATTATTGACACTTTTAAACGAATTGACATGTCCTGTTGATGAACTCATATATTTTTAGTATACACTTTTATTACTATTTCAAATTATTCTTCCATTTCATTTATATTTTTTCGCTCTTTGTTTCGATTATTAATTTTTGGAGCTCCTCGCGGTAGAATGATATCCAGTCAAATCCGTCAATTCGCGAACGACATGGTGACGAGTTATTTTTTAAAATGACACTCATTTCTCTTTTCTCTTTTTACACATAAATAAATATTTAAAAAACGTATATCTATGTATACATTTACAAATATAAGTTTGATTGACAAGATGCAAAGCCATTTGACACTAAAAAAAAATATTGTCAATATAAAAAATAGTTATTTCAAACTTGATGAATCTGTCTCAGCAATACTCTTTCTAATTATAATTGTATTAAAAAAAATGAAAAAAAAAAATAGCTGACTGATTTACAAATGCATTGTTCACAGAATAATGAAGATAAAAATATTATCTATTAATTGCAGTTAAATAGTGAGTTAAATTATCAATTATTCATACAGTATATCATGATAGTGGGACATTACGTTACGAGTGATTCAAGCTGCAAGCGACTAGAAGAGTGAGTACAGAAAGATAGATAGAGAGAGAAAGATAAATAGAGTATAGTCGGTATGCCGCCACACGTTGCAGTTAATGAATAAGCCGGCAATTATTAAATTGACCAACGAACCGCGTCAAACGTATGTGCGTGGGGGAATGAATTAACAAATAAACACGGGACATTATTGGTTGACGATGGTTTGGTGTAGAAATCGACGCACATACTTCAACAATTTCAACACTTCCGAAACTTTATACCTCTGTTATGTGTCCGAACAATTTATATTTATTTAAAACATATTTTATTGTTAAAGAATTTTAATTATTGCAATTTCATCGGAATTTTTATATTTATGCTCGAAAACATTCTTGCTACAAATAATTTATAAAATACCTGATACATGCCATGTTATTGATAGTATCATAAGCGTTTGCACAAAATGAGTAACAAGTTATTGAATGTGATGTTTCAACTATTTTAATATTGTTTGTATAATAAATAATTTGTTGAATATTTTAATATTTTTATAATTATTTATCTCGATTATATTATTGTAAGTAATTTAACAATATACATGATGAAAAATTTTTGGTAACGATTACCATCATTCATTTTTAATAATCACAATTTCCGACGATAATTTAAATATTATTCAATTCTTGTTATTGGTTAAAATCTTGCAATAATAACTATTACCATCAGTACCATTACGATAGTAATGATTACTGTCATGATATTGATTATTTTATTATATAATTATATTATTTTTATATATTTTATTTATTTCACCAATATCTTATATAGAAAAAATTCTCGTAAGTACCCGGGTCAAAAAATTTAAACTGATTTTAAGCTAAATGATCTGCATTTGAACTTATTGACCTGTATTTGAACTTTTAAAAACATTTTCATCTGTATTTGATCTACTATTCAAATTATTTTTGATCGGTTTTAAGTCTAAATAACTTTTTAGTAAAATAATTGAGCAGCTATGAATATTTTATACTGTTTCTAATCTAATGAGACTAATAGACTTGACATTTCCTGTATTGAAATAATCTTAAAGTCATTTTCATTATACCCAATTTATTGATTCCTTTATTCGAACTCAATAATTTATGTTTATTACTTTTCTTTGTCTTAAAAAGTTCTGATTCAATAACATAAAATCATTTTATATTTAATATTAAAAAAAAAATATTACATCTATTTGATTATTTTTTAGTTCCGTAAGAGAAAAAATTATGTAATTTTTTTTCAAGTCGTTTATAAATTAAATGTTTTCCTCTGTACAGTGTTAGGTCGAGTTGTTAGATAATCATTTAATAATTAATTTCCAAATTGCATGAACGTTATATTTAAATCCGTTAAATAGGAGATTCAATCTCATTAGTTACAATAGGTATATCAAATTTAATAATAGTTTCAAAAATTTGGACTTCTATTCACTCATCTGAATTAATAAAATTATTGTGAAAAATGATAACAACAGAAATGTTGCTGTTAATTTATTGATGAATATTGAATTTAAAATGAAATTAAGCAGTTATTGTGTCATTCTACGAAATGAAAATTCTTTACATTTTTCTGATGGTTTTTGCTAATCAAATCATCTCTTTTTTCGCTATTTGAGGACCTAAAGTTAAAAAGTATGTATTTTCCATGAAAAAGTAGCTGTCAAAAATAGAAAAGTGTAATTTTATTTAACTTTTTATCATAAAAAATATATTCATGAATAATATTATAACGATAATGACAAATTGGCGTAATTTGAGATAAAGTTTTTTAATATAAGATCATTATGGATGACACACTAAATCTAAATCCGTATTATAGTTCAAGTTTTTATAAATTATTGCAAATAAATCCTTTTTCAAAACCCACAACGAAAAAAAAATCAAACTGTATGAATAATCGTCTCTTAAGTCTTAGTTTATTCAGCAAGGTTTATCAAGCGTATTTTGACTATACTTCCTAAAATTTTTGTTTAATATGGTATGTTAATTGACGAATTAATTTCTAAAAAAATAAAAAATTGAAATATTTTTATAACTTTTTTTTTTACTATCATATATAGTCCTATATAGCCACATATGACCAGATCAGATTACATATGGTTATAGTCATAAAAATTGGCTTTACCGGAAAATTTTCGTTCATTTGAATAAGTTTTGACAATAGTAATAAAAAACACATGAAAATGATAATAATTTCGTAATCCAAAATTATATTTCGAGTAAAATTAATATAAATGCATTTAGAACATATATTTATCTCGTAATTACAGCTCTAGTAAATATAACATTGTTAGTAGTTTCTTATTTTCAATTACGTTTAAAACTCTTACTATATAAGTATTATGAATTGAACCATAAAAAAAGGTTGCACAGTAAAAAATATTGTGTATTTGTGTCGAAAACGGTTTGTGTTAAAAATTGTAGTGTGTTAAAATAACACAAAGCTTGTGTCATTTTATTTTGTAACATAAAAAATGTGTTATATACTCTTTATTAATATATTTTGTATGTTACTGGGCAATGAACACAAATTTTGTGTCAAACTCGTCATTAATATAACATCAACTTTGTGTTGACAGCCCGTCGATTCTTCACTTTGCGCAGCAACCATTTTCACGAAAATATAATAAATATTAAATAATAAAGACAATTAAATTTATATGACACTTAAGTTAGTAGACGTCTAAAAATTTTTAATTTTTTTTATTAAATAAATTACAACAAAAAGATATTTCTAAAAAAATTGCACTTCTAGTTTTTAAAGTTTTTTAGATGTGACATTTTTTTTTTTTAATTAGTTAAATACTAAATTTTTTACTTAATAAAAAAATTTAACTTAAAAGTTTTAAAAATTAGTCGGTTAATAACTCTGCTGCTTCACTTTTAAAACCTATAAATTATTTTTTGATTTAATTATTAAAAATTTTTCACACTTTCTTTCTTCCAATTATTTATAGTCGGTAATTGTTGATGTTTCGTTAAAATGTAAATGATAAAAAAAAAACATTTTTAAATAAATATTATTTACTGCATTTGAGGAAATAAAAAAAAATTATTTTATAGGTTATGTTATAGGCATCAAACAGTTGATGAAAATAAATAAGTTTATTTAACATTTATTTTGTGTTAAGATTGTTGAAATTTCAACACATATTTTGTGTCAACCGTTTTTAACACACAAACTGTGTTGATTTTACGCAATATTTTTTACTGTGTATCGTGCAGAGCAGAAAACTTTTTTTTCAGTGTTTGATGAGTACTCACATAAATTTTGTATACTTCTAAAAAATTTTTACAGTGCATGAAAATATTTCTTCTAGTTTTTCAAATCTAACCCAAATTTCCCTTCTTTACAAATGACTAAAAAAGGTTTAAAAATTCAAACATTACTTTCTATAATTTTTTAGTTTAAGTATTTGCACAATGGGTCCATTGAAAATCAAAATCCGCACAAATTTCATGACTTTTAATATTCTATATTTTAATCCACGCTTGAATATTTTTAACTTCCCGCTAAGAAAATTGAAAATTTTCAAAAATCGGGAAGTTATTGGTTTTATTGATTTTACCCCGTTTTTCGAAAATCGAATTTTCATCAGATCTCGACGTTTTGAGGTCCTAGGAAGCTTCCCTGACTATTCCCGCGAGGGTGTCACTATGTCTGTATGTATGTATGTGTGTGTGTGTGTGTGTGTAAGTATGTAAACCTCTTATAACTTTTGAGCGGTTGAACCGATTTCATCGCGGTTGGTGCCATTCGAAAGGGCTTCACTAAACTTAGATTTCCTGAAAATTTGAACCAATTCGGACCGATAGATTTTGAGAAATTTAGAGAAATCTCCAAAAAAATAGGAAAAAAATTTTTTTCAGAAGTGGTTTTTTTGGAATAACTTTTAAACGGCTCTACCGATCGATTTCAAAAACTAATCAGCTCTTAACCTTAAAAAACCACGTCGATTGCCGCCAATCCGATCAAAATCGGTTGATTCGTTCAAGAGATATCGAGAACGAAAAAAAACCAAAAATAGTGTTTTTTCGGAATTACTCCGAAATTTCTAGTTTAACCAATTGAAATTTAAGAATTCTTTATGAGGCTTAAAAAACTGCGTAGAATGCCGCCAACCGCGTGAAAATCGGTTCATTCATTCAAAAGTTATTGCGATTTGAAAATAAAAAAAATAGTGTTTTATCAAACTTCTATCAAACTTTTGAGCTCGAAGAGCTCAAAAGCATACAAAAGCTATTTCTTTGAGCTCGGAGAGCTCAAAATAATATACAAATTGTATTTATGAGCTCGAAGAGCTCTAAAACGTCATAAGTGCAATTTCAAGCGTTTGGGTATAGAATTGGCGGGAAGTTGCAGGGATGGCCTTCAGGGTCAACCGTATTCCTAATTTTTTTTAATTAATTGGAAACTTAAAATCGAGAAAATTTTCTCAAAAGTA